CCTGAAAAAGAAAACTNCCAAAGGCAAATATAAAAAAAATGGATACATGGCATTTACTATATATATATATATATATATATATATATATATATATATATATATATATATATAACATAGTATTCCCATAACATAATTCAATTTTATTTTGAAATCCCATTTCTTATAAAATTGTCCATTATTCACATTCATCTCTCACTTTATCTTTTCTCTCTGATCTTTTTAACAAAAAAAAAAAAAAAATGCTGTGAATGTTGTTGTACACAACTACTATATGACTTATAAAATGTCACATATTTGTGACAATGGGTATTTCAATCAAAACACTCAGCATCTCTTTAGATTGGATTTTCTTTTCTGATATTGGATTGTACATGTACAACTTCTAAAGGAATGAAAATATTTGGCTCCATAGTTATTGAAAAGTAACAGATGTTTGTAAACTAAGTCCACATTCAAGTCATTAGAATGTAAATTATGATTCATCCAGTTCAAAGGCAAAAAAATAATATTTTAATTATTTTTATAGTAAAAACTATAATACTGGGCACTTACATTGATATCAGACTTTCAGAAGTTTTTCGGACTCCAACGTTTCCATTCAACAGGCTTCCTATAGCCATTTTATCATAATGAAAGAGCCAACTGAGATAGGATTCACTAAGTAAGGTCAACCCAACTTAAATGGAGTCATGACTAGTGAGTATGTCTGACTTCTTTAAGTACGCACCCCCTATGTTGTTTTTAATATACCAGAACTGTACTTGAGGTTAGCCATTATATTCTATTAGGCTTCCTAAATCACAATGTTTGGTGAACCCAACTTTAATAGAAACAAGACTTTAGTGAGCCAAGAAACAAAGAAAATATTGAGTTTTATTAAATTTGGTTTGCCCAACTTGATTGAATATGTGTACAATACTCCATTCTGAAAGGAAATGAACACTTCTTCTTGTCCACTTCTCTTCTGCTTTCAGAAGCCTCACAATAAGATCCAGCAGAGCATTATAAAGTACACACTTCATATCCTCCCCCAACAAGTTTGAACTTTTCAAGACAGATGTGGTCTACCTAAATATATACACATTACCTCCAGTCCTAATCCCATTCCAATCAGTTTGAGCAATCGTAAGCCCAGCTTGGCACACGTTCTGTGGAACTTTACAACATCCTCCTCAAAGTTTGGTATGTTTGGCCAGTACTGAAAATAAAACTCAGCCAATAAATCATGTCATATTTAAATTTATCTTTCTTTCTCTGTGCATGTGTGCACGTTATAGCATTGCTTTTCAGACGCAAAATTAACAATAAAATCCTTATCTATATCTCTAAATCTTGACTGCAAATAAACTTTTATCTGGCTTTTTTTTTGTCTTACCTGAGAATATTCACTTCCTGGGACAGCGTCAAATGATTCTTTGAGGTCAGCAGGTTTGTTGGCATCAAAACTAGAGCAAAACCATGAAAATAGGAGCTGGCCAAGTGTTTAGAACACAACATTTTCAAAGTGTTTCTAATTCAAATTGAAATATATATCAACATTTAAATATTTCTGTCCAAATGAATTTTTACATCATCTGACAAACTAGAAACAAGTTCAGAACATTCTGTTTCGATAAAAAACTATGATGTGTGTAAATAGATTCATTAGCTATAGATAATTCTCATATTTACAATAGCTATGCAATAAAAGTGAAAAATGTTCATTTTTGAGTTTTTTATTCATATTTCAAAGCTATTCATTGTGAAATCAAACACTACGACTATGAAGACATACTAGTACTAAGATTGAAAATACTTTAAAATGCCATGAAAATATAAAACACAGTCATTCAAAGAAAATGTTCTTCCAGCTAGCAATTAATGGAATTTTCGGTCACATCAGCAGCTCCCAGTTACACATGTTACATACTTGTCTGTGTCCTATCCTAAGTAAACTTCATTATAATTCCAGGCTCGTAGCCAGGGGGGTTCGGGGGGTTCGAAAGAACGGCCCTTTTTGCTGGGAAAAGGTCCACTCTGGGTAAAATTTGACCTATGTGGTTGAGGATTTTATGGTAAAAGGTCCACTTTTTCAGAAAATGCAACCCCCCCCCCCCCCCCCCTCTGAAATTGCTGGCTACGGGCCTGAATTCTCTCCAATATTCTGTGAGGAAAAAGTATCAATAGTTCTACATAAATCTATAGAATAAGTGACTGCAGATACTTGTAAGGAGTGGAAAGGTAGCTGATTGGCTGCATTCACAAACACTTGATCCATGGACTAACTTGTCTGCAAATCTAAAATGGCGTGTTGAGAATTTATTGCTCTGCCCCTGCTGGGTCGGCAAGCGTGGGGGCTAGGCAGGAATTAATTGTCATACTTGATCATACTTGATTCGTGGACTAGTGTGTCCGTGGATCAAATGATGGTGTATGGCCTTTGTGTGTATGTGTGTAAGTGATATCACTAGTTCAGTGTCTGTATTGTATAAAAAAAAAAACTTACTATTCTCTTCCAATTGGAATGTAACCAATTGCAGCAGGATCAGACATTGGACGGACGAATTTATCTTTGGTCTCTTGTGGTTGTGCAAAAAATTCATCTGACAACCTGAATATATTGTCAATCTGAAAATACAGAGGAATGAAACCCTTTGAAAAAAAATTTTTTTTCGTGAGTTTTGGATAATAACAGTGCTCCTACCAACATGGCTTTGAAACAATACATTTTGATATATAACAATAATCATCAGGACAATTTTCTGGGGTAAAAGATGTAAATTTATGTAAGTGAATGAATAATAATGGTAAACTGTAAAGGTTTATTCATCTAAAAATGAAAATTAAGAGTAAACAAAACATAACAAATAGTACCAATGCAAATCATCAAAATGCAAAACACATGATTTAATAATAATAATAATATTAATAATAATAACTGTAATAACTATTATTATTATTATAATAAATTAATAAATAAATAAATAAATAAATAAATAAATAAATAAATAAATAAATAAATAAATAGACAAACAAACAAATAAATGAATGGAATGAATAAATAAATAAATAAATTAATACATTTGATAAGTATAGCCTTCAGATATCACAAAATAATCATTACAATAATCCGACTCATTTTCAGAGAGGCAGACGCTGACAGGCGCACGTACATGCAGCTCGCCCCCCCCCCCTCTTTATTCCCCCTTCACCTCTCGAAAGCCTTGAACCAAGATAAACTCTCCATATATCTCAGCGTTACTGATAGCCAACTGTCCTCCGACTGCAAGTTCATCTGATTTTCTCACACCTGCCGCTCCTTGATATGATAAAATGGAGGCAACATAAATCGATTACCCCCCCCCCCCCCAATGTTCTTGCCCTCGTCCACTCTGTAAGGTCATCTAATTATAACTTATATAAGCTTGACACTGTTAGTTATGATTTAAATGCGAAAACATCAAACTCAACTTCGCAACAAAATACAACAATTAACAGTTACGTGATTACAGAAACACCGGCACTTTCGTCAAATTGCATAAGCCACTGCCTTTAACCGCTGAACAGCCGGCAGCGTGCTCGCTAACCTGATCTTGGGGAATTCCATGATTTTTGACATAAACAAATCCTATGGTGCTGAAAGCTTTGAACACATCATTAGCAAGCTTTTCCAGATCTTTTCTGTCGACTTCATTTTCTTCTTTTGTGATGTCAAACGCCTTTATATCGACGATTGGGATCCAGCTACAATCGCCGCGATCGTGATCAGTCGCCATCGTTGTTTATCACCGGGCTGGCACGGTTGTTCTGCAGGATTGTGACGATGCGGGTTCTTGGTACACCGTCTCATCTGACGCAATCAATCAATATTTATTTGCGCAGTTACAGCTAACTCAACTGCTGCAACGATTAAATAAATAATAAATCATACCTGACCGTCAGTAGATCTACGGATTTTTTCATTTGCTTATTCAATTTTAATCTTTAAAAAAGATTTTAGTCAAATATTTTGATAATGACATATTTTCTTTACAGCCTTTTAAAAATCCATTTAGATTTAAAATGAAAGGTAAACTTTACAAGGGTAAAATGGACAGATAAAGATGTCTAAAATCAATGAATAAATAGCTTGAATATTGAGATAATAAAATGCATAGTACAGTGTAAAGTTAAAAAGACCCATTTTCTCTCATTTGCAGATTGGATCTTGTATAGCACAAGTATGCCTTAGCACTTTCATTTGTAATTTTCAATACAAAGAGTACATAAGAAATGCAATTCAAATTAAAGTACACATTTATTTTACGTGTGTGGTTTGGCTTGTAATACAATGAAAAACATGGGTATCAAAAAAAGGAAATGGCCCACATTCCCTCCTGGATCTAACTCTATACAATAAATTTAATTATGTTGATAGTCCTTTAAGCTTCGTTTCTTTAATTGAATGATATTATCAGAATGCAGATAGAACATGCATGCACCATCCCTTCACACTGGAGTTATGAAAAGTCAAGCTAATGCCTATCCTATTTTTTATTTTTCTTAATTCTCCTCAGGCTTAATTTTTTGGATTCATTGTTTTGTTTTGTTTTTTCTTGTTTCAAATATAACATGGTTGTGATTTATCACATTACAAGTGAGTTACTTTTTGATAACAGACATTTAGGTGAAATTTCAATGTAAGAAACTATATTTTCATTTCAATATTTGTGATGATTAAAACTTTACAAAACAGATATAAATGTCACCTGTTAATACACAATGAGGAGCAATAAACATTTGGTCAAGAGTTACCAAGTAAATAATTTTAGTTTCTTTCTTTCAGCAAATTTTCAGCCCTAAACACATTTGAAAATATAAATAATGTAATGCATATAAATTAAACATTACCACAACTCTGAGACTTATACTAAAAGTACAGGTTAAGTGATGCTTTATTCTATTTAATTAATCACTTCCATGTACTTGGAAGCTCTACATTATCTTACAAATATATATATATATATATACAAACAGACGTAAAGAACCATACTTTTGGAGGCCATTTTGTTGTAGTAAAAGGGACGTAATGTTTTTCATGTTGTCCATTTGGCAGTCAATCCCCAATGTTAACTATATTTACTACACATAATAAATAAATACACATTAGACCTTATCTTCAATGGACCATCTGAACCAACTTTTACATGCAATATCTCAAGTTTTTTCCACATGTTATCTCCAGCTTTCTAGTGAAAATCTTTATGAATGTTGTTCAGTTGTAAAAGTTGATTACATTTCCTTTTGTATACAGATTTGTGAATCAAAATTTTGGACTGGATGTCTCCGTCCTGCGCTAACTTTTCCGAAGTCTTTTGTTCATTTTGCTCATGGACGTGTCATCATGGTGAAGCTGTTTAAAAAGAAAACAAAATGTTTATACAACCACAGTTGGAATAATTATGAAAGAAAAGAAATAAGACTTAATTAAAAAAACAAATGAATACAAATACTGAATTGTTATATAAAATATTATTATAAACTGACAAAGCAATGTATTTACATAACTATAAATAAAAATATGTATTCCATCACCTTAAAGCGTGGTGGCGAAAGCGGTTTTAGTTCCTGTATTCTCGTGTTCAGTGCCCGAACCTTGTCACAAGTGAATACCAAACTTTCCTTCAAGTCAGGGACTGAAAATTAAGGAATTGATCATAGAAACAGTATAAACGATGGCTACAGTGATAAGTATGAACATTTCTTTTACAAATTTGAAAATAAATATCTAGATCCAATACACAAAGCTCATCACTGATAATAGTAGGATATCACTGGAACATTCTTGCCCCTGGGCTAAGTTCTAAAAAAATGGGCTGAAGAGAACAGTAACAGAATAAGGCCATAACCAGAGACAACTGTGTGTGTGTGTGTGTGCGTGTGCCTGCACGTGTATGTGTGTACATGTGCATGTATGAAGGGGGAGGGGTATTTGGACAGCTCCTATCCCAGTAAAATAACCAATCAAATTATTCCATCCGCAAAATCACAAAAACCTCTCAATATATCACAAATTTCTTCATCATATAATTTCAAGGGGGGAGTTGAAATAGCAGAGAGGGAGAGAAAGAGAAAGAGAGATAGTTCCTTCTACCTCCTGCAGACATAGTTGTCTTTTCCAGCCTTTCCAGCAGAGTCAGCATCTTGTCGTACTGTTCCTGAACTGTGGCTATGTCCTTCAACTCCTGCTCCAAACAGGCATTTACATACTTGGCCTGAAAACAGGATTAAAATACTTATTTCAATCTAGAGAGTGCTCCCTGTGAGCAGACCTGTGGTTAGGCAAAATGTAAATAACAAAATAAAAATGACTTCAAATATATTAGGAAACCCAGATTCACACCCCATTTCCATAGATTAGATCGACCTACTTTAGATGGACCTAACTCCCTGGGGGTTCACGCTAAATAGCTGTCAGCCGGGCGGACACGAAAGATAATTATCCCCTTACAGCTTGTAGTAGGCGGGACGGACATTTAAGTCGGATTATCTGAAAGTAATCTAGTGAGACTCCCCGCGGGGATAGATCGATCTAAAATCTATGGGAATAGAGCCTCAGATTGCAATCACTTTTTTCTGTCCGGTGTGTCCTCTTACAAACAGAAACATGCAAGCAGAACCTTGTTTGTTGGCAGATTTAACAGTTTCTAGAGCACACACTTTGAGGCTACTCATTTACTTTCATAAATATTTCCCCAACATATATACACTGTGTCTCTAAAATGAAACCCAAGGTTTTCACTTGACATCCAAAACTATCAAATCTGTCAAAGATAAAAACTATGGGGGTATTCACATCGAAAAGAGCCAAGGTCTAGCAAGGTCGAGACCTAAATATGGATGTCAATGAATGTCATTGAGAGACCATTAAAGGATTACGCAGTCTTCCTTCATGTAGGTCCGCCATATTTAGGTCTCGGCCTTGCTAGACCTCGGCTCTTCTCGATGTGAACGCTCTCTATGAACCTTCCAATACAAAATGTTCAACATATGTGTTGCAAAAGATATTGAATATATTATATATAATGTCATCCTCAGGTAAAAACCACTATTTGTGAGTAAACAGGGAGTAGGGCGGATATATAAGCGAATATACATAAATAATTGAAAATTTGCTGAAATTTGGCCAAAAACAGCCCCTTAAACCCCCCTTACACTGAGCAGCATCCTTTCTGCATCCTTTGTGCAACCATGAAACTGGCATTGCCGTGGTCGTAGAAAGGAGGCATAAGCATCACTTTGGTTGCAAAATGAATGCTCAATGATCAGCCAATTGTCAGCATGTATTTTTTTAAACTCTCAAATGGGGACTCAGAAAGGACGCCATCCAGTGTAAATAGGACTTTACATTTCTGATCTTCTGTCTCAGTGTCTCCAGGTCCCTGTCGATCTCTTCCTGCTCCAGCTCTGTGTACTGAAACTCTTGGGGCTTATCTTCGGGAAGTAACACATTGTTGGGAATGTGAAATATGTTACAGAGAAGATAATTCTGAAAAGAGACGATTTAAAGATTTCCCATTTAAAGCCGTCATACATAAATGGAAAGTCGAAAATGGTGCTGTTGAATGTACACACAAAAAATATAAAGAATATAAATATATTCCTCTAAGAGGGGACACTTTAATCAGAGTTAAAGATTTAAGAGTGGATGTAATTGTGCTAATTAATAATTATTTTTCAAACATGTAAATGTAATGTTATAGATAAACTATTATTGGATGGAATGGGGTCTTATATGCTTATGTGCCATGTATCAAACTCCCTACTGTCAGAATAATCTCTAAACCAAATGCACTGTACAAACAAAACGCACATAAATAATATCAAATGCTCTTTCAAAGTCTAAAAACCAACTGCACCTCTAACTTATCAAATGCTTTGTCAAAAGTCTTCACAAACACAGGCAGCAACTGCTGTGTACATTCTCTCACTGTTTCTGCTGGGATGACGGCACTGAACTGAAATGTTGAAACTTTATTATACAGGGAGTATTTATAGGAGGGAGGCAAAAACTCTTTCCCTCTTCTTAGCCATCATAGATCCTCCACTATAATAAGAAACTAACAGGGGCGGATCCAGAGATATTTTCTGACAGTCTTCTAAATCTTTGTAGATCTATTCTCCATTTTTGACTGTTTTCCAACAGAAAAAAAAGGTACTCATCAATGTAAACTTGAAAATCTGACCGTCTTCCAGAAGACCCAGAAGATGGCCTAAATCCGCCCCTAACTTAGTTGTGTTGATTTTCAAAAATTATATGAAGAAAGGTTCCTGTCTCATTAGTACACTGACACTGTTGTCATCACATGGATATCAAATAAAATAAGTAAATAAATATACCTCTTGAATGATGTATTTCTCTACCACTTCCAGACAGTCTGTGAGGTATTCATTCACAGCATTATAAACTGAAAAACAAAATACAAACAATGACATTTATAAAGTACATATAACAGTAAAGTCATTAATGGAACTACAAGTTAAAATTGGCCTAATACATTCCTTGTGCTTTAATTTTCAAGAACAATGATTTGCCAGTTTGAGAACAATGAGGGAGTTGACCCAAGTGGTTCACATGCTTTGCATCAGAGTATTTGGAAAGATGCATATAATCAAAATGCATAATAAGAGGGAAAACAAATTCTATTTGGCAAAAAAAAAAAAAAAAAATATATATATACACACACACACACACACACACACACACACACACACACACACACACACACACTTTATACCAATGGTAATTGAATCCATTTTGATATTCAAAATAAGTCCATGTTTTTTTTTCCAAAAAAAGTTTTTTTGTAAACTTGCAGGATTATTATGGAGATATAGCCATCTATGAAGGTCCATGTGGTCTGATGGCAAGCACAGATTCCAAAATAATTGCGATAAATGCCATTTTGGTGGTAATATTTAATTTATACTTCAGTGAGTTGTTTACAGTGTATTTACTGTGAAAATATCAATCTCATATGAACAGTTTTTATTTCTGCAAGTAACAAATATTTGCAATGAATCAGATGTACTGTTATGTCAACTAAGAACCATTTAAGTTTTACTTTTGACAAGTTAAAGAAAAAGATTCATGTAATAACCATGTTGCAAATAAGTTAATAAACATGCCCACTACACTAACATAACTGCTTCTTATATTGTCGAATACATATTATATATCTGGACAACAAACCATCGTACCTCCATCAGTAAAGGACTTCGGGGTAAAACCAAAGAATTGTGTTTCATATTCCTGCTCTCCGAGCACTTTTTCAGTCATAGCCAAGGAGCTCTGATACATCTGCGATGATGACTGTGAGTCCTTCAATGTGCTATCTGCTATCGTTGCTGATGAACTGTCTGACATTTTGGTTACTGAATTGACCTGTCCTTGAATTGCCAATTTGTTTCCCTCTAATTTAAATCCATAAATCCATTGACGCCCTTGCTTATCACAATAAGGTTAAACAATATATTACTTTTATTCTCCACTCAATACCTAAAATACATAAATATTAAAACACTTAAAAGATGAATAATTATAATTTGGTACCTTTTTACATTTGTAGCTGAGCGAGAGAGAGAGAGAGAGAGAGAGAGAGAGAGAGAGAGAGAGAGAGAGAGAGAGAGAGATTAACAAGGGTATGCCAACCCAAAAATGAGAGAAAGTTGTCAATACTCAACAGGCAATATTTAACTCTTGAAAGTGATGGTATAACTGATACTTGTAGCGATACTTCTACAAGGTAAAGTGCACATGTATTTCTAATAAAAAGTACCAGTAACTGCACAAATTCAATGCTCATTATAAATAGGTAGGCAAACGTTTTTCATGATCTGGTACTGCTGAAAATACTAACCTTCATATAAATGAGTTCTTTTTAAAACATCAGCGGTTAAACAACGTCTAATGTGAACCTGAGCGAGTTACGACCGACCTCAGCTTTGAAATATGGCGCTTCACGGTGCTATATCCTTAAACCCAGGCAATTTACAAAAAACAATACATTGAATACCAATCGGTGCAATTGTTTTACAATAAATATCTATATTCAGTACAACAAATAATGTAATTATATACTTTATCCATGTCTATTAACTGACAAGCCGAACACCGTAAAAAGTTTAGAGATTATAAAACCATTCTGGGTCAAGGTCGTTTCAAGTGCTGAGGAGGTGAAATGGACAACGTGAAACTAACGTTACTAGTTACGTGAAGTCGTTGCACGATGGACGAAGGCACGAAACATGTGAACACGAATCCTCTCCAGAAAGCAAACTGGCTGTCCAAGTTGTTTTTCTGGTAAGTTAAAACATGCGTATACAGGTGCTGAGATTTACACTAAATGAGTACCAGATCTGCTTGGAATACAAATTTACTGTGTTTTAGTTTTCAATCCATTTTGTTTACACCCGGCTGTCACCTTAATGGTGAATCCGTAAACCACAAGTAACAGCCTACGTAATTATACTTATCGACCATGATGCAAAAGAGCAGAGAAAATTGAATAGTTAAAACGAATTTTTGAATACAGAATATTCTACAGACAAGTATAAATATTTTTGATTTATAACTTAGATGGAAAATAAGAGATATATAGGTAAATTAAATGTTAAATGATATTCAATGCCAAAACAACTCTGTTGTTGGCAAGGCTAGTTTTTCCCTGCACCCGTCACCTTTTTATTCAGGGGCACACTGCTGTAGAAGACCATTGTGCTNGTCCATCCTCTGGGTGTTACAGGTGAAAAGGGAACAGTTTGATCCTACGTCCATCCTCTGGGTGTTACAGGTGAAAAGGGAACAGTTTGATCCTACGTCCATCCTCTGGGTGTTACAGGTGAAAAGGGAACAGTTTGATCCTACGTCCATCCTCTGGGTGTTACAGGTGAAAAGGGAACAGTTTGATCCTACGTCTATCCTCTGGGTGTTACAGGTGAAAAGGGACCAGTTTGATCCTCTGCCCATCCTTAAAAGTTATAGCATAACCAGTGAAATGGGACAAATTTGAATTTCTGTCCATGCTCACACATTAATTTGAGGATTACAAGTGAAAGGGGACCAGTTTGATCCTGTGTCCATCCTCTGGATGTTTTAAAGCAATGCCAGTCCTGAGCAGAAGTTCCAAGTAAGGAGGCCAGTAAGACTGGTCAGTGGTCAGGTAAGGGTCATGTGGACTGTCCAGCAGTTTGTTCATCAGTTGCTGAAACCAGGAATTAGGTAATTAGGTAAACTGTCATCAATGCCTGCACACATAAAACCATATAACACTAATTACTTTTAAAAGGATCCAAAGGTGGAGCTCTATGGCGATATCCCGAAAGTCACCTCTAAGATAAGAGACTACAGATTGAGGGCTACTAGCAATTTTTATCGTCATTGCTTTTTAAATTGTTTTCATGGGTTAAAGAAACAAAACTCATGTCCAGGTTCTATTTGAGTATACTGGCCTAGAGAACATGACTGAGCTTGCCAGTGTCATTGAGAACCATGGGGTCTGGATTTTTGCTGTTGCTTAATTAATGATATTGACGGTTGACTGCAGTCAATATGATTGATTGATTGAACTTTTAACAAGTTCTAAAAAAGGAAAGAGATCACCCTAACAGTGTAGATCTCTGCCAAGAGTCAAGAGCTGTTTAAGGCATAACAGAAACAAAAAAACATTTTCACAACATTTGGAGAACTGGATTCAGTTGACTTTGTTATAAATCCTTTGAGGAGACTTTCGATGCACACTAAAATTGTAAGCTTAGCCCTTTCCCTCTATCTCATGGGCACATTTATGACAAAGAAAAACAAGATATGTAGTCACTCTGTGCACACACTATTTTTAAGTGTATTTAGTGCAAAAGAGACACAATGCCACCTGAGCTATGTAACATTCAAATTAAAGTGTAAGTAAGAGAGGACCAAGCATAAGTTAGTTAGACAAAAATACCATGCACCCATAGAAAATTTAAGAAAGTTTTTTTTTTTTGGGGGGGGGGGGGGGGGGAAATTGTACACTGTAATCTTTTAACTGAATTTCTACTTAATAAATCCAATTTAGAGCAGTAACCCTACCTCTACCATATCTTGCAAACTGACCACACTGTCACCATTCAAGCTATCAGAACTGGTGTAGGACTCGTTAGACCTCCGTCCTAAACCTGGCTGCTGGTGACTCTGCACACAAAATTAAAAATTGTTTTACAAGATAATTAAAAAAAAAAAAAACAAAAAAAAAAAAACAAAAAAAAACAAAAAAAAATTATTCAAAATTAAAAAAACACACTTTTTACAAACCTTCAGAATTAATTTCACTACTGTTACGTTCATTTGCCTATTTTCAAAAACATTTTTCAAAATACAAGAACGATTTAAAGAAAGATTAATTTATAAACTGGCTATTTCTTTGAGAAAAGAAATGGATGATAGGATCACCTGTAGCCAATATTTTTTATTTATTGAGGTTGATGAAGACAGACAGAGGGATAGAACACAATACTTCAGTTCACACCTACCCTTCTCCACTCCTTCATTTGGTTGTACGTTGGTGGCGGGAAGAATTTTGCTATAAAGTCACGCTGAAAAAACAACCTCAACAGTGACTTATCATGCATTTTTTCACAGGTGTTAAACTTAAACCAAATTATCTACCAACGTTTTTGAAATACTATACAATACATTTCCAGTAAAACATATAATATACTCCAAGACAAAAGAATCTGACTTGGTTAAAATTCAATTGAATTGTCTAGATTAGAATGCTCTTTTTTAAGGATTCTAAAATATTATAAAAGAGAACTAATCTTACCATCTCCAACATAAGCTCTCTGTTTTTTTCAATGGCCCTTTTTCTTTTATGCTCCAATTCTTTTAAATAACTGACATAAAAAATTGCATATGACATTGTCAGTATATATATATATATATATATATATATATATATATATATATATATATATATATATATATATATATATATATATATTTTTTTTTTTTTTTTTTTTTTTAATCAAGTGACTGGCTGGAGTAGACATGGGCATGTCTCATGATACAATAACTTAAAAAATAACATAACTCACACAACCAATGCCATGGTCAAAACCATCTTTCTTTGCAACATCTCGTAACTAAAGAACTTAATCTATTTTGTAACTATTCATTTAATAAGTCGGCTCTCAAACTACTAAAAGTGAAGAAAATCATGATAATGAGCGATGTTACGATCAAAGCAAGGGCCAGTAAATGAACAATTTTAAAAACTTTTTTACTGGCCTGACTTCAGTTAAACTGATATATCTGGTGTGCGACCAGTGTTAAATACACTGACTGGTTGAATGTGGACATTTTGTCACCTTCTTTCATTTCCAGGTGTCTCTTGTGCCATGATCTCTTCCACCTTTACCTCCAGGGCTGCCTTTATTTCTCTTTGTTCCTCCAACCGGGCTTCATCTCTGCACAGAATTTTACAAAAATCATTAATATACACTAATCTTGTTGTGCAAAAATGTTCATTAGCTTGGTAGTTGGATCATAAATGATATTATCAAACACAAGCAGAAATACTTTCATACTGTTAGCTTGTGGCAACATGGGCGAAGGCCAGTCTCTAATGAAGTCTGATGAAGGCCTTCACCCAGGTTGGCCGCAAGCTAACAGTATGAAAATATTTTGGCTTATGTTTGATAATTTTATTTATGAATAATCTTTAAATGTATGGTGTTTTACATTTACCTGGTTTTAATTGCTACATTACTTCTACAACTGTTGAAATGTAAGGCAAAAAAAAAAAAAAAAAAAAAAAAAAAACCAGACAGACCTCTCAATCTGTTTGAGCATCTCTGCCTTCTGTCCTGCCACCATGGCCAGGGTGTGTTCTAGCTGGGTGATAGAGGTGGTAAGTTCATCTTTAAGTAAGGTGTGAAGTACCACTGGGTCCTTGGGGAGAGCTAGAGGGAAATTGACTAAAATTAATTCATTCATTATGATTTAAAAATTTTTACAACTTGAATTTTATACACAAATGCTAATAACTGAAATATAAAATACAATGAATAAAAAATAAAATACAATGCAAAATCAAATGTGACAAGTATATGTCACTGGAACTAAACACAAAATCAGATTAAAAATAAGAGAATCTTTGACTCCCAAGAATATCATCTTAGAAAACACATATATAAGACATATATAATTATAAATTTTTTTTTGACTTTATCCCAGGAAAGCCATTGCGTAAAGTCTGACCACAATCCACCTCAAATTACTTTCAAATTTAATATTTTTAAAAATGGTTACATAAGGTTGTATAACATACAATGGTGACTCCAGAATTTTGCGGTGAAGGAGGGGAAGGGGAGAAACCATGTATACAGCAGGGGCCGAGGGCAAATTAAGTATGTCTGGGGTACATGGATAAAAATGCTTGCTTTTTGTTAGTTTTGTCAGTTCATTTTTGTGGGAAAAGAGGACGACGTCACCACAGATGAGTGCTGGGCGAGGCAAGTGCCCCCCCCCCCCCCCAA